CCCCCCCCCCCTACACACACACACACACGCAGCGGGAGAGGGGCGCGAAGCAAAGAGGCGGGAGGGGTCGAACTGCCAGGAGAAAGGTGAGGAGGACACGCAATCACACAGAAGGACCAAATGGAGAATAGGCAAAGTAAAATCTAAACGGGAAGAAAGAAAGAAAATAATAAAAAAACAACCGGGGGAAAAAGAAAAAAAAAGACAAGCAGTCATTTTTTTTTTTGGAGGCGAATAGGAGGGAGTGCGCAGTAACTGCTACCACAGCTGGTACTTTCCTTCCTTTGTTTTCGTCTTCTCCCTTCTTTCTACAGCTAGAGCCGCTGGCACATGCCCCCCTCATAGGAAAATGCATACAGAAGACTTTGGCCTCTCGTTTTTTTCGCCTATTCCATACCTTTTTGTCTGCTTCTTGTTACCATCTCTTGTCCCTCCTCTGGGGGCTATGTTGAAATTGCCGAGTACATTATTCTTCTTCCTTGTTCATGCTGGATGCTGCTTCTGTGTGTGTGTGTGTGTGTGTGTGTGTGTATGTTTCTCTGCGTGCCGTTAGCTTTCCTCTTCTTTGAAGGACCTCAATGAAGATCGACAGCCAACTTTTTTGCTTCTTCTCCCCATGACGACTGAAGCAGTGGTGGAACACGAACGGTGAGGAACCATCGTAAATGCTTTGTTGACAAGCTACTCAGAGTGCATCCCCTTCTTCTTGAAATGTGAAGAGCTTTGAAATTTTTAACCCTTCCTCTGCCATTGCGCTGTCAACTCTGCATTAATTTTATTCTCTCCATTTTTCTTTTTTGGTCTCCTGCGAGACAGGGTGCATCTCTGTTTATGTGCGATCGCTGTGCACCATGGGGACGACAATGTGTCTGCCGCGGCGCGATGACAGCCGCCCGCTGGCATACTTCGGTATCCCGGTGAGCACCCTTGTCGTGTACGAGCAGTCGGCCGTCCAGCGGTCAACGTACTACGTCCCTGGTATCCCCATCCTGCTGCAGGACACCGCTTTCTTCTGGGACTCACAGCACGAGGGAGAGGCGGCGGCCGCTACCACCGCGGCCGTTTCGCCCGACAGCATGTGGGTAGCCGCCGCGGAGAAGGCGATCAACGACTTCGCAAGGAAGAGCCATCTGCTCTCGCTTAGTAAGAGTGTGCATGGGCGACGAAGCAGTGGAATCAGCAGAGGTAGGAAGCCGAAAGCGTCGAAAAAGCGCACAAGTCGCGTCTTCGAAGAGCCTCTTCGTCGCCTTATGGGGAAGATGCCGCTCCGTGCTCCGCACTTTGTTGCGATGCTAACACTTTTTCTCCACAAACTTCCCGAACCGCTGCTTTCGCCGCTGTTTGTGCGCCAAACAGAGGACATACTGGCAAACGAGCGGATGTCTGAATCCGCAAAGGCGCAGGCGCTGCAAAAGGCGAACCGCCACACATTCATTTCAACTTATCCAGCGGAGTACGCCGTATTCCAGTACTTGAAGCAGCTCGTACAACGCCACCGTGGGGAACTCATTGCCGCGGAAGTCGAGGCATTGGTGCGTGCAATGGTGCGGGAGGCCACTGAGCATGTTGTGGAGTATTTGATGCAGCAGGTGCAGCCGCTTGTGAGCCAAGCGATGCTCAATCCAAGGCGCGAGACATTCCCTACCAGCGGCAGCAGCAGTTCCATATCGGAGTCACACGCCGACGCTGCGCAGCTCGCACGACAAGACACCACCGGCACCGACGACTACTCATTGCCCGGCTCGCACCGCAACGACGTGCCCAACGGTGATTTACAAACGGAATCAGTGGCCACAACAACAAGAAGCGCCTCGCACACCCGAGAGGAAGTGGCTGTGGAGGCGAAGGATGATGCTGGTGATTCTGTTGACGACGAAGATGTTGCTGAAAAGAAGCACGGGGTTACTGCGGCTCCGTCATCTTCGGCTATGCATTGTGTTGACTCGATGGAGCCATCGCAGTCCAGAGCATCAGTGCCGGAGACGCCTGCCGATGAGGTTTGCAGCGAACGGCAGCCTGTCACGCCCAAGTGCACTTGCGATGATAACGGCAAGGAAAAGGAAGAAGAGCAAAAGGAAATGGGCTTGGCGACTGGGTCGGGCAGCGACTTGCGCAGTGATGTGGCACTAGATCGACAGAGTGATAATGACTCTCCAATTGAAGTCCCCCTCACACAAGTAAAAAAACGACAAACGAACCAAAACAAAGAGGCATCCCTTCCTGTTGCTGCGGGGGAAGCCAGCACTTCTCAGCTGCCACTGATGATTGAAAATGAGCCGTCTTCATCACAGGAATTGCGGAGACGAGTTGCGTCTTCAAACGACGAGGTGGGGAAAGACTCCGTTGGGTTAGTCGTCGGTGTGAATGGCTGTGTACAGCAAGAGGGAGAGTCCATCCTTCCTCTAGCAGACTTCTCCCCCGCGCATGATCCCACAGAGTCGGTTGCGAGCGCGCCGCTGCAGAGCCGTCATTCAGCTTCCCCGGTTAGTGAGCAAGAACATCTTAGGGACACGCCGCAGCGTCTGAGCGCGCAGTCATCACGAAGCCAGGTGCTTCTCCCCGTAATTACAGCTTCCTCACCAATATCGTCCCCAGCTGTAGTATTGGTGCCACCAGCGGAAGCGCCTCGTGTTGCTCAGCCGCAGACATCACATTCGTCATCGTTAAGTGGAGAGATGCTTCACACCAGCGCTGCAGGAAGCTTCGTCAAGCAGCATCCCTGCTACGCCGCTTTGCTAGGGGCAAAACAGCTTTTTCTTGGAAATGGGGGGCTTCCCCCACCGCAGCTTCCGTTGGACAGCAAAGCGTCAGAACTTGTGGAAGATCTGGTGGATGGAAATGCGTTCGGGACCGAGTCCGTCCATGGTGCCATAGAGCAGGTGTCACGCGATGATGCAATGATCCATAGCGGGAGAGATGAGTGCGCCTTTATCCGCAAAGAGAGCCTGAGCGGCCCTGATCGGCGGGTTTTCGACGATTTTGGCTGCGCTATAGAGGAGCGCTTGCAACGGGGGTCTATTAAGCCACTCGTAGAGCAGATAACGCGGTTAAGTGCAGAGTGCGAGTCGCTCGCGCAGCTGGTGCGGGGCGGGGAGACACTGGTGGGGCCACCGTGTGAAGCCCCACAGCTGGGGAAGCGAGTTGATCAAGAACTGGCGCTCCTCAAGGATGTTGTGCGCCAAATCGCAGAGAACCATTCCGAAACATTGGGGGATGTTGTGCAGCTGCAACAGCAAGCTGAGCAGCAACGTGAGCGGCTAGCGAGCTTCGCAGCCGAAAAGCAGAGTTGGCGGAACGACGCCCTAAGCGCCAAAGAGGCGGCGCTTGAGATCCAACGTCGCTGCGCCGACCTTGAAAGGGCGCAGCTTCAGGATCACCAGTTGTGCCAGTATATGTCCGCAAAACTCAAAGAGTTGGCGTACAAGTTGGAGTGCAGCGAGAAGGAGAATCTTGAACTCAAAGTGGAGCTCTCTGCGCTTCAGAGGCAAGCCGTTTCGACGCGGGAAAGGCTGTTCTCGGTGCGGTGACGGGGACAAAAGAAAAAAAGAAAAACAAAAATGTTATGTCGTCCCTCGGTATTTTGGGACCTGTATCCTGCTTTGTGGTCTCGCGTACGACTGGGTTTTGCTCCTGCGGTGTGCTGCAGGGTTGGGCCTGCCGTCACGGACATACGCGAGAAGAAACAATTACGCGATGAGGTGTAGCTCTCAAGGGCGTCTCAACACTTCCGTGGCGCGACGGATGCTCCCTTTGCCCCTTCCCCCGTACGGTGTGGTGCGGTGCGCGTGGGGGAACTGTCGGTCCGTGGGGAGTGTGGGAGGCGTTGTGTTTGGCCCGCGGGGCCAAGAGACGTTTGGAGATGCGGAGGGAGGTTGTCCTTCATATAGGCCTGCATGTGTCTGTGTATGTGGTTGTTTCTGCTGATTGATGTGTCAGATGTCGACTGCCACTGTACCAAAGAAAGTCCAATGCGCATTCTGTTCTTCTTCTTTTTCTGCTCTGGTCTTTTCTTTGTGTGTATGTGTGTGCGCTGGGCAGCAGCAAGGTCCAAGGAACTGGGTGCGGTTGTCGGACATGGTAGGCTACCTCACCCTCTCCACCCTCCCGCGGAAGGAGAAGGAGAAGACTATGCTGCTACTCGCCGCAGCTGATGACAAGGCGTGGTGCGTCATCCACGATGCCCAGCATCGCTTCTGCATTGAGTGGCAGGTGAGCTCCACGCATCCCGCGCTATCGTTCCTGCCACTGAAAAGTGTGCCCTCAGTGCATACG